TATTTAGTTTGCCTACTATAAGGTAAACCTAGATATATACTATAGGTAGCTAGTCTAGCTAGCTAAGTCCTTATAACAGCCTTATCCTCTAATAATTATTAGAGAGATAAAGGACTTATATACCCCTAAGACTATTAATATTTAGTACTAAATTAATACTAAACGTTAATAAGAGGTTTTTAAGATTAACTACTAGTAATACTAGTAGAAGATAAAGAAGTAGAGACCTTAATAAATTCTCTAACACACCTATAAGGAAGATTTAAAAGAGAACCTCTATAAAATAAGTAGGGCGCTTAATAGTTCTCCTCTACCTATATATACTACTAAATAGCCTTACTATAAGGCTAGGTCTATATAGTTAGTAACGCTATAAAAGTATAACTATTTTATATTTATTAACGTAGTATCCTTTAAGATAAATCTAAAGAGATAAGATATTAAGCTTAGTTTTATCTCCTTCTATAAGCTAGATTAGATAATTACTTAGAAGAAGGAGAAGCTAGCTAATAACCCCCTATAGGCTAATAACTAGGCTATATATAATTTAGTTAAAACTAACTTCTTTATTTTACTTTATACTTATAAGGATATCTTTAGTAAAGTAATAAGTAACTAGCTTACCTTTTATTACCCTTATAACTATAAGATTAAGCTTATAAAGGGAGGGAAAAAGAAGCTTACTTATTACTTATTATATAAATAATCCTTAGAGAAGCTAGAAGCTATAAGAGAGTACCTCTTAAAGAACTTATAAAAAGGTTAGCTTAAGCTAGGGAACACGCCTTAAGCTACTCTTATACTATTTATTTAAAAACATAATAGTAGTTTATAATTTTATATAAATTTTTAAAAACTTAATAAACTTATAAAAAAGGACTACTATTTTCTTTTATTAATTAATAAAACCTTATTATATATTAGGTAAGTAAAGATTTTTATAAAGATTAATATTTACTAGGCCTTTAATAAAATCTAAATACACTTTAACTTTAAAGATCTAATAACTTTTTATACTTACTATAGTGTATATAAGTATAAGGTGTTACTATTTAGCCTATATAATAGCCTAGCTACCTTTTAGTAGTATATAAATAACGTCTTAATAAAGTATCTTAATAACTTCTATACTACTTACTTAGATAATATCTTAATTTTTTCTAAAGACCCTCTATAGCACTAAGAGCACGTTAAGAAGATCTTTACCTAGCTTTATAAAGCTAGGCTATAAGTAAATATTAAGAAGTATAAATTTAAAGTAACTACTACTAAGTACTTTAGGTTTATTATCTTTACTAATAGTATTTATCCTAACCTTAAGAAGATTACTATAATTAAAGATTAAAAGCCCTTAATAACTATTAAGGGAGTCTAATCCTTCTTAAGGTTTTATAATTTTTACTACTAGTTTATTACTAAGTATAGTTATATAGCCTGCCCCTTAACCTAACTTACTACTAAGGACTACTTATTCTTATAGACTAATAACTATAAAGAGGCTTTTACCTCCCTAAAGAAGTCTCTTACTACTACTTTAGTGCTTTATTATTTTAAGCCTAAACTTTTAACTTATATTAAGACTAATGCTTTAGACTTTATATATACTAGCGTAATACTTTAATAGTAAAAAGATAGTATCTAGTACCTAGTTACCTTTTACTTTAAGACTATAAGTAGTATAAAAATAAACTATACTATTTATAATAAAGAACTTCTTACTATTATCTTTATACTATAAAAATAGTAAGCTAAGCTTACTAGCTGCTAATAGCGTTTTAAAGTTATTACTAACTATTAGCTACTCCTATATTTTATAATAAAACGCCTACTAAATAGTTATTAAGCCTAATAGTTAGGATTAATAGTAGACTTTAATTTTTAGATTAGCTATTAACTTAGAAAAAAAAACGTCTTAGTAGACGCCCTCTTTAGGAAAAAAAAAGATCTTACTATATAAAAGGCTTTAAAGAAGCTAGTTATATATAAGTACTTCTACCCCCCTTAGTGCTTATACTAGAAATTACTATATAGTTATAGTAGTTATTAAAGACTACTACTATAACTAAGGGAACTACCCCTAAAGTAATTATAGTAGGTGTACTAATACCTAAGGATAACCTCTAAGGGTACTTATTAGTAGAATAAATCCTATAACTAAATTAAGAGGCTACTACGCCCTCCCTATTAGTTTTTTAGGATCTAGCCTAATAAAGGTAAGAATAATAAAAACTAACTAATAATAGCCTATTAACTATAGACAGGCGCCTAGTAGTGCCCTCTAAAGATAACCTATATACTTATATAATCTAGAAAGCTTATAACTAAAAGTTACTTATACACCCTAAAAGGAATAAAATAAGTAAGATTATTAAGGAATAATACTACTAGCTAAAGATAACTATAGATATTAAGTAATATATATATAACTACTATATATATTACTATACGTATAATCTATATAATAAGCCCTTAGGAGAACTAAGGCTATTACCTATTTTATACTACCTATAGTAATATATTACTATAGATTTTATAGCCTACCTAAAGGATAAAAAGGGATATAATAATATATAGGTTATAGTAGACTACTTAGGGAAGCAGGTAGTATTAACGCCTTATTATAAGACTACTATAGTAAGGGATATATCCTACCTCTTCTATAAACGCCTACTACCTTTCTTTAGTTTTCTAAAGATAATTACTTCTAACTATAGCCCCTAATTTATTTCTAAATTTTAAGATAAGCTAATAAAAATTTATAGTATTAAGACTTAACTTTTTACTACTAACTACCTATAGATAGATAGTTAAATAAAGATCCTTAACTAGTATATCCTCTAATAGCTATACTTATTAGTAAATTACTACTAAAATAACTAAAGTAAAATACTCTCTATAGTAGATTTTACTTATACTATACTCCTTAGTAAGAGCACTAGCTTATTACTATTTAAAGTTAAATTTAGCTATATACTATAACTTAGTTTTAACTAGGACTATAAAATAGTAAAGTTTAATAGTACTTAAGAAAAAATTAACTAAACTAAGGCCTAAAGAATAGCTAAATATATCTATAAGTACTAAGAGATTACCTAAAAGAATATAGAAATTACCTAAGAATACTAATAAGAATATATAAATAAGCGTTAAAGGCTAAATAATATTTAGGTAGGAGATAATATCTTTATTAATACTTCTTACTAAAAGAAAGATAACCCTAATAAGCTCTAGAACCCTTAGTTAGGTCCTTAGCCTATAATTAGTATAGGCTTAAGCAGTACCTAGTAGGTTTAGCTCCCTAAGGGTATTAATACCTACTTAGTATTTTATTTTAGTAAGCTTTAGAAGGCCTTAGTAGACCTACTTTTAGGCTAGTACTAGGACCCTTTACTACTAACTATAGCTAGAGATAAAGAACTAAAATATAAAGTAGTATACTTATTATAGTTTAAGATAAACTATAAAAGATTATAATACTATATAAATTAAGTTAGCTATAATAAAGACCTTACTTAGTATAACACTAAAAGCTTTTATTATTTACTAATAGTATTAAAAAAGTTTTATAAGAAACACCTTAACACTAATAGCCTACCTTAGAACTTATACTTATAGCTTAAGGATATAGCTATAAACACTAAATTACTAGCGTAGCCTTATAATAACACCCTAAAGAACCTAAAAAGGCGTTAATTAGAAAGTCTATTCAAAGCCTAGGTAGTATCTAAGTAACTATATATATTTACTAATTACTATAGTGCTAGCTTACTATACTAATTAGCCTCTCCCTCTTATAGACCTACTAACACTTTTTAAGCTTTTACCTTATTCTATTAGGTTTTAGTCTAAAAAAATATTTCTTAAAAAAAGAATTTATATAAGAAATTAAAAAAATTAACTTATAGCTACTAAAACCTTATTTAATCTTATATACTTTAAGAACTTAAGCCTAAATATATATTATAAATAATATAGCTCTTAAAGGGGGAGGTAATATTATAGCTAGAGGGGTTATATAGGGGATATATAAATAAGAATAAGGTTATAGTGTAGTTTAGTAGCTAGTAAGCACTACGCCTTAGTAGTAAGTACGCTATAGCTATAGTAGTCTATATACTACGCCTTAGTAGTAAGTATACTATAGCTATAGTAGTCTATACACTACACCTTAGTAGCTAAGGCCCTAAGCCTTAGTAGTTAGTATACCTATACCCTAGTAGCTAGTAAACCTTATAGCACTAAAGGACCTACTAAAGGGCAGGGGATAAGAACCCCTAGTTATAGGAACTATTAGGTGACTTATAAATAGAATAGATAGCTATATAATAGCTAGTAGGACTACTAGCCCCCTAGGGTAGATTCCTTTCCTTTTTACCTTTAAATTCTTATAATAAGAAATATAATTATATGTCTAACTAACGCAGTATTACTGCTGTGATATATTATAAGATCCTAGGTACTAATAATCTTTAGGCTAGGTAGCACTTTAATACTTTAATCTAAGCTACTATAGTAAGTAAAGTATTATAGCCTCTTCTAATAATCCTTACTAATTTATAGTAGTAGTAACTATAAAGTTAACTACTAATTAGTGTTAGTATTATAGGGATTATAATTAAGGTAGCTATAATAGTATTAATTAACTATTAGTAGCTAGGTAAAGATAATAATTAAGGAAAAATAGAAGAGGTTACTGCTATAGGTATTTGTGGTGGTGTAAGTGAGCCGCCGGGGTGAGTCACGTGATGGTAAATCACGTGACCATGGATCGGCTCCACCATTGAACAGTTGAATATCCCGACAGTATCCTCTCTAGCCTCATTATTGGCCGCTCCGTAGTGTCCTGGACTCTGATTGCGGCCTGCCACAAGCTTCCCTTCATCCCTCGGGCCTGGTGTCTGCCTACGCCCCCTGCTGGCGCCGCTACCGCCCACCTGCCGTTGGCCAACGTTACTGTTCTACGCCCTGGCTTCTTTGGCTTTGGCTACGTCCTTGCCGCCATGGCCTATGAGCAGGAGGGTTTTATGAGTGAGGAGCAGCGCGCGTTGTTTGCTGTGGCCGGTTGGTCTGACGGTATAACGCGGCAGCTCGAGGAGCTTGGGAGGGCGCACGCGAGGCAGATGGAGACGGCACAGACAAGCATGCTCGGGTTGATTGTGGCCCTTGAGAAGCACGCCGCCAAGAAGCAGTCGTCGGGAGACGCGTGGCCGTGGCCGTGGCCGTGGACCATGTCGTGGTCGAGCGGACACTTGCCCGTCCAGCACTTCATCGCCGAGATGGAACGCATCTTGTCGGCGGAGCTGCAAGACAGACGCGAGTTCAACGCGTCGCTCGTTGCTTCGTTAGGCAAGCTAAGAGACGTCAGTTCCCACCTCTGCGGGTGGAACAAGGCGCTGCTGAACAAGCTGCAGCGCAAAAAGCACCAGCTCTCAGACACAGAGAAGCGCGTCCAGGACTACCGCGCGGCCGAGGGACGTGCTTGGCTTGTCGGACGGTTGTGGACGGAGCCCAGCAGCGTGCAGGAGTGGTTTAACTAAGTACACAAGTACACGCAATCTGACGGGAGCTATCGCGATGGCAAGGCCGCAAAGACAAGGCCAACATTGTGTGTCTCGTCACGCGGAGCAGAGTGGCAAGGGCAGCCAAGGTCGCTCAGGCTGTCATGGGGGAGACGGCGAGGTTGCAGGAGCAGTGGAACGATGCCGTGGCGCTCCGTATTCACGTCGCCAGCCAGGCAAGGCAAGCCGGCGAGCAGACGCGGCGGCGGTGGGAGGAGCAGACGGTCGACCTAGGATTCTTATATGTACGTAGTTTGCAAGACAACTACATCATGTTTGCACAATGAGACGACGGGCGGCCAGTCAGCCAGCCGTACATACATGGATGGATGGGTCAGGGGCCAAAGGGCCGACGTAGACAGGATCGATAGAGACAGACAGACAGGACCGAGGTAGGTGAGCTCATCATCTAGTGATGGGAGATTAGTGTTAGACCATTCATTCTACATTACTCGTCGGCAAAGCAAACGTGTGGATGGGGTGGCCCTTGATTCGGACGCCTACTTCTGTCGTTCGCGCAGTTAATTCAAGGTCTACTGCAACTCGGCCTGCATCGAGGCCATGGCCGGGAATCCCCATAACTCGGCGTGGCCCAAAGACCAGTGCACCCATCCGGCAGAGCTAAGGGCTGCCTAATAGGAATCAATAGCCCCAAGACGCTCCTGGGCATCAGCGAATGCCTGATCAAGTGTGGATAGCTAGATGAGGAGCAAGTCGACCTAGGGAATGAGGTTTCCACGCAGGTTAGAAACAATCGCTGGTATCTTTTGCGTCCAGTGCGAGTTCCTGCAGCCAACTTTCATGTTAGTCTATACGCTGGGGTGGAAGGAAGGGGAGCTCTTCTTCTTCTTCTTGTTGCAAAGGGCCAGACAGGGAGGGAGGGTAGGGAACCTTAAGTGTCCTTGTGCAGGCTTCGTGCTGAATCTGACGAAAGCATCCAGAATCCGGTCCTGTTTCGCAACAAGCTCGCAGAGGTGTCGCTCAAGGCGGCGCACTTCGGCTGTGCCGACAGTACTGTATGTAGTCCACGCCTCAAAGAAAGTGCCCAGCCTTGTGTAGACAGCGTAGGACGAGGGAGCGTTGGCTGCATCATCATCATCATCATTATCATGACCCTCTTGTGGCAGCGTGTCCCAGTCGAGCAGAAGCAAGGCCAACAGTTGGCCGTTGGCGAGGTTGCGACCAAAGGAGTCGGCCGGGTCGAACTGCCGGGTCAAGCAGTCGGCGGCGCTGCGCAGAGCTGTCGTACATTCGTCACACAGGACCTCAACGTCATGCCGGCCTTGGAGATCGGACGCGTGGAAACAAAGGCTCCTCATGTCGTGGGAGACTTAGGAAAGGAGGGCTTGTCCGGCGGCGGGATCAGAGAAGGAGGCGCTAGTGGCAAACTGGAGAGTCGTAGCAGATAGTTCATTAGCAAGGGGGAAGGTTCTGGCCCTTTGTGGCATGTTTCTCAACACGGTTGGGTCCAGTAAAATGTAGAGCTCTGTGGCTGCCATGAGGAGGGCGACGGTGACGAGGTAGAAGAGGGCAGCGGCGAGGATGCAGGCCCAGGGTTGGATCGTGAGGCGATGCCGCGGTCTTGGAACGGGCGATGAGGGCGAGGGGAAGGCAATGGGGCTGCATTCGAGAGCCAGCACGGCGTCATGGTGGTGAAGGGGGTCGTCAGGATAGCTAGTGACAATGTTGTCGGCGCCAAAGTGCACCTCAAGGGGCTGGGCAGTGCCAGGCCAGTCGTCGTAAAAGCAGAGATGGATGCGTTAGTCGTAGAGCCCGGGGTCAAGTTCGTGTTGCCGCTGCGGGTGGTGGCAGTTGTTGTGGTCTAAGGCCAAGTCCAAGTCGCGTCGCAGGAGGGTGATGGTAAGATAAACGGCAAGGTAGTTGGCGCTATGCAGGTTATTATTGTTTGTGGACGGCATTGCCGCTGGTGCTGGTGCTGGTGCTGGTGCTGCTGTTTTCAAGACAACTCGGAGAGTTCAATGATGATTGGATTCCAGGCGTCGTCAGAGCAGTCATATTGGAGGCGGATTGCAAGGCCCTGCGTTGTTTGTGGAGAGGATAGAGCCACGTCCGCTTCTCCTTCAAGCGCGTCGCAATCGATCATATCCGGACGGACGGCGGTACAAGAGCATTCAAGAGGAGAGACGCGGGACAGTGAAGGAGTGGATGGCACAGTTGGCGGCAAACTGAAAGCCATGGCTGTTAGGGACGATACCGTGTGGTTCGGCTCGTGGGGTCAAGTTTGAGGTCGAGGCCGTTATTAGGGCCAAGGTCTGTAAACGGCGTTGACTGCAGCACCAGTGGGTAGCGATTTGAAACCATGATGTGCTACGGCCGATTCAAGTCAGCAGACAAGCAGCATTCTAGGGAACGATCTAGCTAGGGAGGCAGTCGTTTGACATTGTTAGGTTTGCCAACCCCCGCCATCCAACCATATGTGCACAATGAACACGCCCAGCAGCGATACTGACAAGACAACAGAAACATTAACGTTGGCTGAGATAGTATCTTGTGGGTTTAATTCGCACAATAGAGGCAGTCAACAGCTACCCCCATCCCTCTATACCCTACATAATGCTCGTCTAGGAAGCCATACTGGCAATAAAAAAGTTGTTCCGAGGCCTAGGAAAGATTGTTCCATGTCATGTTTTGCCAGCCTCTAATTGTACTGCGCCGCAAGAGCCAGGCTCACATTCCTTAACACCCCTCTTCTGCGACTCAAAGGACCTCATCGCGCCCACCAGTTGCCCCGTCAAATCAACGAGGTGTTCCAGAGTTGATTTGATCGACTCGAATGTCCGCCCGGCCTCACGCATGTCCTGTTCCTCACGTGCGCTGGTGTTCCTCCTGGGTAACTCGGGCGATTCTGCGTCGAGGCGGTCGCGGTTCCTCTGGCGCATGTGGTGGGCCGTCTGTTCGGACACAGACAAAATGACACCAGCGGCATTGCTTACATCCTAGAGTACCTCCTGCAGCTTTGCTGACTCCCTGTCGTAGTAATCCTGGACCTCAATCTTGAGTGCCCTGTGCCAGTCATTGACTGCCTGGGTTGCCGCCTTGAGTATCTGAAGTGGGTTGTCGGCTTCGGTGCCAGCCTCATTGCCATGCGTAGATAGCGTCAGAGGTGGCGGTGGCTGTGGCCCTTTGGATAGCGCAGGGACAATGGTTTGCCATGTGGCCACATCCACAAAGACTAGAGCTGCCATGATCCGTCGCCACAGCCTCGGATCCAGCTGGGCCCTGAGCGGCCATCTGGCGACGGCATGCATCCCGAAGGCAAACACGAAGACACAACAGTCGATGCCGTTTGTCTGTTCAGGACTAAAAATTGGCATAGGGTTGCTGTATAAATAGTCTGGTGTGTCAGGGAGGTAGTGCCTGATAAAGGCCGCAACCTGAGCTGATGCATCGGCCCGGATGCCAGCAGAGGGCAATGAGTCGTAGAGCAAGACAGAAGACAGCGTTGGGTCCTGCATAGCAATACGGCCGCGCTCGAGCACGGCAAGAGCCCAGTGGTTTCGGGCAAATATAGGTAACAGAATGGGAGTTTTGCTGCCTATGGCCTGGCGGATGGCCGACTTGGCCACGTAGTCGCTGGAGACCATACTTGCAGACTCTAGAGAATCAACCAGGTGTGCGCTTGTACACGTGCAGACCCTGCCTAACGTATCATTGAGCCATCTGCCTTCGATAATCCGTCCTTCGTCGAGAATATCAGCCTCTTGCCCAAAGACGAGACCTTTTTGCCATTGCGGATGTGAGCTTCTCGGATGTGTGGGCTTGTATTTCGCGCAAGGGTCGCTTGCTGGGTCTGTAAAGCGTCACGTTCTGACTGAGACGACGCTGGCTAGCCGGCTGCGCTTGGTTGCTGGACTGTGAGGTGCCGGCAGAGGTGGGCGGAGGTGAAGGGGCCCGGGGTAGGATAGCACTGTCGTCGTCTTGGGGTAGGTACAGATCCTCCAAGTCCATTGAAATATCACTCCCTGTGTCAGCGTCGTCGTAATGACTTGTGTTGCCGGGATTGAGGGGTTCCAAGAGGTCTGGATCAGATGGTGACGCGTCTGCCCTGCCGGCCTCGGGAGAAAGGCTTTGCGATGCGGAAGGACTGCTGGGCTTTCGGGGGGTGTTGGGCTGGGTGGGGTCCTCGATCTCGGAGAGGATGGTGTTGCCTAGGGGCAAGTGTCGGTTCAAATTACTATCGGTGTCAGGAATGCTAGACCCGAAGGGACTATTGGGTGCCGGAGTACTGCCACACTCGAAAGGACTTGCAGGCTTATGGGGGGAACTTGCAGGCCCGATAGACTCGTTGAGATCGGGCGCGTCGACAGACTCAACAATTTCGACATTGTCAGAAGGGCTTGCAGGCTCTATAGACTTCTTGGGCTTGGGAGTATTGACAGCCTTGGGAACGCCGAGAGGGTCGGAAGGAATTGCAGGGTCGGGGAGTCTGGTGCTCGGTGGGATGGAAACCTCGTGGGACCTAGACCCTTTTGCAGGCTTGAAGGAATCATGTCAGTCTCGCTCAGCCAGAGAGACAGAATAAGGTAGCTTGGACAAGAAAGGGGGTACGGTGCATTACCGGGGATTGAGGCGTCGTCTGGGTGCGCAAAGAGGCGATGGCGAGTTTGACGTCCTGGCAGGAGATGCCGGACCCAGAGGTGTGGACGCCGGGTCGCCTACTCTGACGGGCGTCGGATCGGCGTTGATTCGCGAGACGGCAAAGAAAAGTGATTGAAGGGGACCAGTTAGGGCTGATTGCAGAAAGGTCCCGCAGCGAGCGGAAGAATTTCTCGCCTTGGCCAGTAAGGTCGAAGGCAACGGCGAAGAGGATATGCATAGGACTAAGGCCCCAATTCTTTACGGCCTTGCGGAGTAGACTGGCGCTGTTTCGAGAGTTGACGGAGAAAGAACCGGTCGGCGGCAGGAGTTTCACAGCGTGCTTTGTAATCTCGAGAGGAATAGCCCTTCTAGCATCGCACACGTTGTAGAAATACGGTTCAGACGTAAGTATTGCCTCGTACTCTCTAAGGGAGGGCAGTATCGTGTTTTTGCTTGCAATAGCCGTTTCGAGCGTCTTGCAAAACGTATCGATGATCTCCTGGGGGGTTCTGACTCTAGACGACGACATGTCTGTGTTAGATGAAGATGATATGTCCAGCTAGCTAACGCACTTTCAAAGGGATGTGGCGGATGTTAAAGTTAGTGGTAGGTCGGTGCCATGTTTCTTGGGCGCAGCAGAGCGTTGAGAGTGTAAGGGTGCAGAGAAAGAGAGGGAGGGCAACGGCGTAACGAGACATGGAAGGCACAGGGCGAGCAGGCTTACGAAAAAGTACGAGCTTGCTCCCTTTGTGTGTCTCTGGGCCCACACCGCCACCGCGTTGTCGCGTGCCTGCCGCTGCCGACCACATCTCCCACCCCATCCCGTACGTACCTTTTTGTGACAGCCAGCGCGCTCAACACGACACGCCAAGTTGCTCGAGGGATGAGTTGCTTGGACCACCGTCTTGCCTATCTGTTCTGCTTCTGTTTCAATGAATTGAGCGATTCGCACGCACGAGACATTCTCAATAGGCCAATCGGGTGGAGAGAGCGGAGAGAAGATGGGGAAAAGAAGGATAAGGTGGTCAAGTCAATAAAGATGAGAAAGAAATGAGAGGCGGTCCAGGCCCAGCGCGGCAGGCACCCAGGTACGTTACCAGGCAAGATTGGACTTCTGAAGCTAAGGGGGCCTAGGAGAGAAAAGAACTACGTACCTGTAGAGCTAGCTGGAGCCTGGGCATATGGAGAGGAGAGGAAGGAATTGAGGGTTCCTGGTCCTGGCGAAAAGGCAAATCAACAAACGCCAGAGGATCATGGATGGTTCTTAGAAGGCGCTCAAATTAAGGTGTTGTGGTTCCTGCCGATCCCAGTCCTGTGCTGCAGATCCCACCACAGCCTCGACGCCACCGACCCACTCCGTGACCAGGGCACACATACCTAGCAATAAGTGCCCCTAGGCCAGCTCATGCCAGCCCATGCCAGCCCAGCCTATGTCAGCCTATACCAGCCTAGCATACATATATTCAAGTGTTGCTAGAAACGCACAAGAAACTAGCAACAGCAAAGTCCCTACTACAAATCCTCACTGCTCTACATGCGTACCTCCGTGCAGCTGCAGCCGTAGCTGCCGCTGCTGCTGCACGTAGCGGCCCCACCTACTCGGGCTGCATCTGGAGCAAGCTCGGACCTTTTCACGACCTTGCTCTCCCATGGCTCTACTTCCACAGCTGCCACCGCAACAACCAGGTTGGCGCACCTTCTGATGCACTGCAAGCCATAGGGAATTGGTGCCCCACTGCTCAATTTGCCGTCGCCGTCAATCGAAGCTATTCACAACTGCTCACGGTGGATTTGCCGCCCCGCGTGTACAGATGCCGCAAGAGCTCTCTGCCAAGCTATCCACGTAGGCGATATTCAAGTCTAGGTAAGCTACCTATGGTTGCTGGCAGGATATAATTAAGCAAGGAATGTTCGCCAATACCTACGAATCTAAATTTTAGACGGGTTTAGAGCGCTCCTTAAGTAGAACAGCAGTGGCGGGCGCAGGTCCCAATATCAGCGTCACAAGCGAAGGGAACAGCTCGCAGCTCGACCCTTATCAAATGCGCATAGGCCGCTGGGCTGGAACCAAGAAATAATGATTAGTGGCCGTGTCTGCTGAACTGATGGAGGTGTGCAGTGAGCTGGTCTCGGGGACTTGAGGTCTTAAGAACGCCAGACGACAGCGCCTCCAGCTCTACGCCGCCTTCCTCTAGGCACGTGGTGTAGACGCGGGTATATGATGCGTCGTCAGTTAGGGGCCCCTATTAATTAATGCTTTGTTTGGCAAGCCTTAAAGAGTTGTCCCTAAGGACAGTATAGTGCCTGGCTGAGGGGTAGTTACGGGCGAGAGATAATGCCTCAAGGGGTTCCGCGAGTTCTGGCATGTGGCCATGACGAAGTTGAAGATACCCAGGAACAGCGGGCGGGTTCAGCACCAAGGTAAGTAGATCTAGGTTAGGGTTTACAAACTCTTTCCTGTGTAGACAGAACTTGAAATCGATTCTGAACAGTTCCTTTGCGTACAACCAATTGAATTGACCACGGTCAAGTTTACTTTTCTTATAAGCGGGGTGGTGAGTGCTCCTTAGCGGCGCAGACAGACAGACCGACAGACCTATATTGTGGCAGCCCATCGTGGCAGCCCATCGTGGCAGCCCATCGCGGCAAGACACGTATTATTGGATTGGGTCTACCCTCTTCCTACGATCTTAGCATCCTGACAGTTTTATCTTAGAGCACTGGCGGTTGAGGGTCCGAGCACCGCCGCACTATGTAAGCGAGCCAACAAGGCCTTCGCCCACATTTTCAGAGCGGGTGGGCACGTGACCCAGCGACTCCCCTTGTGGGGCTGGAGTTGTGGCGCGCGTCCCCCAGCCAACCCTCACAACTGCAACATGCGCCTTGATTGAGCTCCAGCCAACTTCCATAACAAAATCATCCTCCTCTGAACCCCCCCTCCTCCCCTCCATCCCACCATCACACCGGTGCAGCTGTTCGGACTTGCGATGTATATGTGACCACGGCTCGTCCTGGACCTAAAGCGACATTTCACCCCCGCAAATTACAAGCAATGCATTCCCCATCCTCAAGCCCAGGACGGCCTATCGACATCACGACCTGGCTGTTGCAGATCCCCGATGACATCTGCCCCGAACACATTCACCAAGCCCATCTCCATCACACCACCAAGAAATCCCTACACAACAGGAAACGCCTCTCACCTCTCGTCTCTCCCCCACCCTCTGGCAGGACCCGCTCCTTCTCCCCTGACGTCGACGGGGCCTTGCGCGCCAACATGGCTGACATATCCTCAACGCCCTCTGGGAAACGCCAAAAGCGGCATCACCACAACGCCCCGGGCAGTCCAACCGACGAACCATTGTCAGCAGCGGACCCCGACGCCACGCCCACACAGGGCAGACGAACACTCGATACCCATAAGCCCTCTCTCGGCACCCGCACATCTACTGCCAGTGACCACGACTCACGGTCCGATGTTTCCGGCCAATCATCCCCTACCAAGAGGCTTGCAGCCGTGAGCCTCGCCGATACGCCCCTCGAATCAAGGGAGTTTGCCACAGGTGTCGACACACCTCCTGCCGGCCCGGCCTTGGATATGTTTGATAAGATGGAATACTTGGCAAACAACACAGCAGGATTGCTACCATGGGCAATGCGTGCTTCCTTCCACGAGTACGCTAAAAATGGCAGAGTCCCTCGCATAGACGATTCTGCCTTTGACGCTTCTGGCCAGAGGGACCGGCTGGGTCCTACGCCGTCCGTCGATGACGTCCGTGATATTCTCCAGGAAGCATTGCGATGTCAGGGGCTGGTGCACACGGAGCACGGGTGGAACTGCAGCGTTCACTTCCCCCTGCTCAAGCTGGCACTTCATGGCGCCGGTGGCCGCAAGAAGCAGCTCGTTGACTTGGACTTGTGGTAAAGTTAACCGCTAGTGATTGTGACCATCCACCGCTCGCTTGCTAATCTCCCTCTCACAGCACGCACGCAAAGCCCCTCCCCGCCTACCGATCCCCATACACATCCCGGCCAACGCACATGGTTGACTTTTGCATCAACCTCTGCCCCCGCCAAGCCGGTCCTGAGTATGCCTACGCCGTTCGAGCAATCGACCTGATGCGGACCAAGCTCCCCTACAACTCCATCAACCACACTGGCCACAACCCGCTCCTGCGAGATCCCATCTCCGTCAGCATTGAGACTAAGCGTCCGGCCGAGGGCGAACAGAAACAGGCATTGCAGGTTGGTGTGTGGCAGGCCGCTCAGTGGCAGCATCTGGAGGAGCTCGTTCGGATGCGTCTTCTCGAGGCTGGCGAGCCGCTCTGCACTCAGGAACGTTGCTACGAGGTCCTTGATCAGCTTGCCTTTCTTCCCGCCATTTTTGTGCGTGGTCATGAATGGTCTTTTGCGGCGACCATGAGAGAGGGTCAGAAAACGGTTTGTGAACCTGGCCCCTACCTAGCGTTAGTAGGCCTATGCTGATACCGTCTAGATTCTTTGGCGTGAGGTTCCCATGGGAACAACCAGAAATGTCCTCGGCATCTATCGAATCGTTTACGCCATCCAGCTTCTTGCGGAATACTCTAGGAACCATTTCTGGCCGTGGTATCTTCGGGCCGTACTGGGCATCTCGACAAACGGCGATGCCTACGAGGCCAGCAATTTGAACACAACAGGTAGTAGATAGTGTGTAAGGGGTTAGTTGTTATGGTGGTAAGTACATTCGCGTGGTCACTTTTACCCAATTTGGCAGGCGTGCGTGCATTGAGCAAAGGTTGTAAACAGGTGACCGCCTACTTCATCTTTTCTTCTCCCAATTCCTCTATTACTGTGCTAAAAAAGCTCGCCATTACGTTCCTTACCCCTCTCCAATCAATAAGGATCTCATGACGCATTTCCACCTTGTTGAACACAACTTATGGGGTAGGCAGGCACTCAGTCTGCGGGAACTGGAGGCCATGATCAAGATTTCGATTCCTATTGAGTGTCGGTCGGCTGCTCCATTGTCTTTGTGTTTGGGCTGGCGCACTAGGATGCTATGAATACAAGAAAGACCTGGGCTTGGGCGTGGTTGTCGAACAGGCTGCGCAGCGCAAAAGGCCCGCCAAGCAAGGTGCGGTAGAAGACGGGGTAGAGCGCTCAGATGATGCTGACCGCCGACGGAAAGAGAGGAGCTGCATGGCTGATGCGATGGACTGTCACCCTGTGCAAAGTGAGTTAATACCGGCGTCTAATTATCGTGAAAATGGGACAAACAGCGCATGCATTATATTTATCTACTAGCGCGCTTGTAGGGGCACGTGTTGATTGTGCTAGGTAAACGGCGCGGTGGCAAAACACCTACTTCCCACACTGGGAAGAAGACGCTACGTATGGCTTATTCGCGAGGTGTAGACGGGGTCATCAGCATTCATTGTCATAATGTCGTGATGCCCTTATGTGCATCACACATATCCGGCTCTAGCTAGCTAATTTCTCTAGACTAGAGAAATAGTTATTCTAAACTAAGCCTTATCCTTATATAGCTAACCTACTTAAAGAATATATATTTCTTTAAGTTAGATTACCTATTTTAATACTATAAATAGTTAAGCTATTTTCTTTACTAAGGATAAGCTTACTATTTAATAAGAGGTTATATTAAATAGTAAGGATTATAATAGTTACTTAATTAATTCTGTTATATATTATGTAACTATAGTAAATTCCTATAGAAATAGGTAAAAACCTCTATTTCTTAGTTAGGAAATCCCTAGCTAATCCTAGTAATATTATTAGTAAAGTTACCCCTAAAAGTAAGGCTAGTTTACTACTTATTTCTTAATAATTTACTATAAGGTAACTATTATTAAATATAGTAGAATTACACGTGAATTAGCTAGTAAATACATAGTTGCCCTATAGCAAATTGTTAGGGAATAGGCAGTAAATTAGCCCTACTTCTAATAGTAACTTTACTAATAATATCGCTAGGATTAGCTAGGGATTTCCTAACTAAGAAATAGGGGTTTTTCTTTATTTCTATAGTAATTTACTATAAATATATAATATATAATAGAATTAATTAATTAACTATTATAATCCTTACTATTTAATAATTAATAGTCTAATATATATATTTATAATAACTAATATACCTATTTACTAATTAAATACTATTATAATAATTAATAAGAACTATAATAATAAGGTAACTATCTTATAATTATATAGTAATTAGTTTATATAGCTTAACGCTATCTAAGTAAAAGTAAAGCGTTAAAATCTCTAGGAGTATATTAACCTAGAGGTTATAGCAGTAGACTAATTAATCCTTAAGATATATCTAAAGAAACTAATAAAGCTACTTATAACGTAATATCTATACGCCTTAACTAAGGATAAGCTTACTGCTTACTAAGAGGTTACTATAGCTATAGTAATTACTAAGATATCTTAGTAAGTAACTATATAGCTATATATAGTAAGAAGTAAGGCTATTATAGCTATACCTAATAGGCTTATATATAAAACTAAATATATAATAACACTAGATAATCTTAACTTATATAATTTTATATACTTAAATAGCTAGATAAGCTACTATTATAAAGAAGTGTATAAGTATACTACTTAGTAAAAAGATATTAAAAATATAGCTAATATAGTTAAATCTACTATATCTATAAATCTTTAAGAAAGATATTATAAATCTAATAAATTACTAGCTAAATAGCTGAATAAGCTTAGTGTAGTAATAAGAATAAATAAAGAAGAGTATATAAAGTACGCTTATAATAAATATAGTAAAGTGTTAGTAAAAGCCTAGTAAAAGGCCTTAATTACTAAGAAAGATCTTACTATATAGCTTAATAAATAAAATATAGCCTATAGTAAATTAGTATAAGTTAATTTACCTAACTACTAATAGCTATTAATTTAGTTTAATAATCTTATTACTATATTATAAAGTAGTATACTTAGCGCCTAGCTAGATTTATATATAGTAATAAGTAAAATAATAAGTAATTAGAATAATCTTAACTAGTAGTCTCTTTATAAGATAGCGCTAGAGAGGGTTAAAGCCTTTACTAATAACTTACTATATTATAGCTAAGCAGGCTATAGCGTATTTAGCCTAACTAGAGGTAATAATAATAATAGCTTAATATATACTAAAGGCATAGTAAAAGATAATAAATTTAATAATAAGAGGTATTACTACTAATAAAGTATAAGTAAAAAGGTAAAATACCTTATATACTTTAGTGCCTATCTATTATAACTTTACTACTTTATAAATAAATTATAAAGGCCTAATAATTAGTAAGTAAATATATAATATTAGTAATAAGTTAATAAGTATATTATAAGTAATCCTAACCTTACTAAATAAGTATAAAGAATTAAGGCTAAGTTATATTAACTATATAGTAAATACTATATAAAGGTAGCTTTTTATACTACTTTATAAGGCTATAAGCTAGGTAATTTAGCCTTACTTAATTTAAGCACTACTAACTATATATTTAACTATATATTATAGTTTATTATATTAATAGTAGCCCTAATTAGTAACTATATTTAGGCTAGTACTACCTAAGTTATAATTAAAGGATATAGTACTATAAAGATTACTTTAAAAGGCGCTAATAGCTTACTAATAAAGCTTTATATATATAATATAATATATTATAGTATATTTACTATATTACTTATTTTCTTTATAAGGCTACGCTAGTAAGGTATATAAGAAGATATAAGCCTAGGTAATAATTACCTAAGGTATATAGATTATAGCCTTATAGGCTATATTAAGGAATAAGCTAACTAATAAGTGCTTAAATATTATAAGTAATATAGCTATAGCTAAGAAAGTAAAAGCGCTTTTACTATATACTTTACTAATAATTTACTACTAACACTATAAGTAAGAAATAAATATATAATATTAATATAGTAATAACTACTTTATAGTAATATAATAATATAGTATAAGTATCTTAGCTACCTAGGTGCTAAGGCTTTATAAAGGATTATAAATACTATATATAGAGTACGTCTAACCTAAGTTAACGCTATAATAATATAAGACTATAATTTATATAGTCTTAGTAAGATAAGGCAGTAGATTTACTACTAGCCTTATAAATTTATTATAAATATAGCGCTAGGTAATTACCTAGCGCTTAACTTTTATAATCTTAAATAAGGCTATATAAGATACTACTTAGTAATAATAATCTTAAATTAAGTAATAGGCCTTATATAAGATTTCTACCTATATAGCTACTACTAAGATACTATTAACTTAATAATAAGGGGCTTCCTTATAATACTAAAAACTAAATATTTAATTATACTTAAAGTTATTAAGGCTAACTAAGAAATCCTATACCTTAAGTAACTTATAAATACACTCTTTAATTATAAAATCTTTATTAAGCTATTAGTAGTAAATACCTAGGCTTAAAATAGTAATACTAAGTAAATTACTATAATTATTAAACTTAAGGCGTAATATATATAGATTAATATAAAATTACCTAAAGTCCTATAGCTTAAAATTATAACTATAGCTATATACCTTTATAATTAAACGCTATTAGTAGCTTAGGGGTAGAAATCCTTATATTAATTATTTTACTTATATTTTATACTTAATAAGTATACTAAGCCTTTACTAATAGTAAAGCTAGATTTTTTATATCTATAAGCCTATAGCTACTAAGCGTACGCACTAATAGTAAATATATAACTATTATAAAACTACTAGTAAAAGCTTACTACCTATATATAGATTAAATTCCTTATTAAATATATATTTAGTAATTTATATTATATCTAGTATCTAGCGTAAAATAAGGTCTTTACTATATATAATATAAGGTTTAATAAGAAATAAATCTTTAATAAATTAATAAATAGATTACTTAATAAGCTTTATAAAGCTAACCTTATAGTAATCTAATAATAAATTAATAAGCTAATAGTACCTAGTAATTAATCCCTATTATATAAAGAAGCTAATAAAGAAATAAATAAAGTAATAGAATATACTAATATTACTTTACTAGGCGCTTTATAATTAGGTAACGCACTAGAATATTTATATAAGTAGGTAAAATTTACGCTTCTTCTTACTCTACTACTATTACTACTAAGCGCCTTTTTTTTAGCCTTTATAGATTTTAATATAGGGGGTAGTAAAATAGGAACTAATAGCTCTAAATTAATTAATCCTATAGCTAATAGCTAAATAATTACTAATAGTAAAATAATTAATAGGTAAATACTTAAATTAATAGCTAATAGCCTATTAATTAATTTATTAATAGCCTATAGCCTATAAGCTAGTAACTTACTTAATTTATTAATAGCTAATAGCCTATAAGCTAGTAACTTACTAGGAACTAATAGTTCTAAAGTAATAAGGATAGTAATCCCCTATATTTTATTTTATCCCTATATAATTAATAAGACGTTACTAAGTATAAAGAGGTATTAAATTCCTAAGTAACTACAGCTAGCCTATTAGGTAATCTCTAGCTAGTAGTAACCTTATTTAAAGACGTTATAAAAAGGTATTATCTTACTATATATATAGGTAGTTAGATTACGCTATAGACTTTATTTAAGGCTACTTTCCTTATAAGGCTTACTTTATAGTAAAAGATTACAGACTATATATAAGGTAGCTTATAGGTA